AAGTTTTTGTCAAATGTTTTAATATGCATCAATAAACAATACTTCGTGCATAAAAAATTGTTTTTAAGAATTTTTGTCAAATGTTTTATAATATAGTATAGATAGTATAGATTATGTGTTTTTAATTATATTTTAGATTTTTTATATTTAAAATGAGATGTTTATCCTGTTAGAACTCAATGATTATCCTAATTATATTTTAGAGTTTTTATATTTAAAATGAGATGTTTATCCTGTAATTGTGTTTATCTGCAGTTAGTTACACGAATTCAGATATGAGATAAAATCGGATAGGGATGAATGGGTTTAAGAGTTTTTAAGAGTTTAAGAGTTTTAAGAGTTTAAGAGTTTTAAGAGTTTTTAAGAGTTTTAGCCAAATGCTTTATAATATAGTATAGATAATAGAATACGACAAAAACTAAAGTAAGTCTATATCTTGTAAAGAAAATAACAGATACATACATAATTAAATAAGGGACCGTTTTATCTGGATAAACGTTTATCAAGTTACATTACCTTACATGGATGAGTAAAACAAGGATCAAGAATCTTACCCGATAAAAACTGAGTCTTACCCGGTAAATGAAGAGGGTGACTTTTTTACCACGTGTAGCACTTATTGGGAAAATTATTACCGTTTTTGTTGACTAAAATCTTACCTGGAAAGTAAGTGATAGTCTTAAATTTTACCCGTAAACGTTCATCGGATAAGTGTTTGGTAAAACGAGTCCTAAGTGAAGACATTGTGAACATCAAGTAACCCAACAAAACAAAAACTAAAAATTTGTAAATGTATGAAATATTCAAAGATTCTTTATTACATTGTGAACATATTTTTCTATACGTTTTTAGGTGAGCAAAACTAAAAATGGAATACATGATATAAATTAGGCAAATAAATCAAATTGAGATTCACGTTATTTTAAGAATTGAGGTTTAAAAAAGGCAATAAATTGGGTAAATTAAATATTATAATGAGTTGCCAAAAAAATAAAATTGTCAAGTTACACTTATATATTGAATTAATAAATAAAATCAATTATTTCAAAGGAGTGGTTGCATATACATAAAGAAAAGAGCGATCAAATGCAAACTATCAAATTTATACAAACCGTGCAAACCACTTTTATACATCGATTTCATTGTTTAATCCTATTAATTTTTTTGATGAAATTGTTTAATCTTGTGAAATTGTTTCATATAATATTTTTTTTTGATGAAGTTGTTTCATATATGGTTATGAAATTGTTTCATATAATACTTAATGAAATTTTAATGAAACTGTTTCATTTATTTCTCTAAAATTAAAATAGGGGTGGAACACAAGCCTTTTAACAGCAGGGGCCGGACCTAACCTCATATATTTTCAGAAACACAAAAAATACATTATCCAAAGTTATAACATATTAAAACTCTTAAACAACACATGGATATGAAAATGTCAAACATTGCTCATCATTGTAGGGGACCAAGATTCATATAAGCTTGTCAAAATGTATCTTGCTTATTAATAGGATATTCATAAATTTGAGGACGCAAACCGGGATCTCAATTTAGTGCATTAAGATCAATATCATCACTTCCCTTTTTGAGTATTTTTGGAAGAGGTTTATGTAACATGACCAAAAATTAACAAATAATATCAGTAGAATGTAACCACAGCAGTCACTAAAACTACTAAATCAGATCAGCCCTAAAGCACTAACCGTATTGAAAACAAG